ACATTGTTGCTTTTTAATACCATTTTTATATTGTTAAGCACTTTGTGCAGCATCGGCTGTTTGAAATGTGCTATATAAATAAATTTGACCTTGACCTTAAAGAACTGAGAGCTGCTGGGACTCACAGTCAGACGAGCTGTGGGAGAATTTATTGTATCTTGAACAAAAAGGGACACGTAGAAATGTTTAATTAATTTAGCACTGAGACACCCCTTACAAACACTAAACTCCTCAAATCAGCTGCCATTCTTGAGTATTGGATGTTTAAAAGAAAAAAATTTTTTCTTAAAATTGTCTGATCATCAACAACAGGATTTGTATTATGTTTACAGGAAGTAGGAAATGAAAACCTTTGGATTGCGAGGAGGAGGATAGATATCACTGATGTGACTGAAGGCGAGTCTGTCTGCAGTGAGCTGCAGCCTGTTCTTAATAAATGTGTCCCACAGTCTCCTTGAAGAGTCAGGTTTACAGTGGGACAGTGGAAAGTTACTGACCTTGGTTTGTGGTGCAGCTCAGCAGTGAGATCAGAACTAAAGAGAAATTAAACTCAGGTTAGTTCAGAGTAGAGCTGTATGTGGGATTATTTCTAATCCAACTCCTGCAATATTTGTGTTCAATCCTGCCCACAGTTAAACTGTGTTTAACTAAAGTGCCAGATGTTTGCCGTGCTCTCGGATGCTCTAATCAGTGTTTATTTACAGCTGTCAGAAGAATGTAGAGTATGACACCAACATGTGAGCACACCTCTCCTAACCCTGCCTTACAGACTGTAATGTCTGATAAAATATGTTTATATGCATTGAATGTGCAATTTCATTAAAAATAAGAACAGAATAAATAAAAACAAATTCAACAAAAATCTCTGCTTTGAATTAAAAAAAGATGCAAACCCTGAGACACAGTTCAAAGAAATACATTCAAACACACTGGCTCTTGGGACCAGTAAGAACATACATTTGTGTAATTATTGAAACATTTGACGGATATCGCAGATGTAATCACTTTGTAGAGAATCTCTAAATCTGAAAAATATGTTCCATGTAATGTGAGATTTTTCCATCAAGCAGTGGACGTTATCATGATTTCATAGAGTAAATATTAACTTCTTTCCTACGCAGAACCCTTCCTGCACTGCAACGGCACATCTGGACACTTTAGCTGTTTTCTGCAGCATTCTTAACAGAAATAAAGGCAGAAATCATGACTTTTCCTAAAATGGGGTTAATCATCAAATACTGCATGTTTGAGTGAGTGGGATCAAACGGAAAAAAGCAAATCATTTCACCTCATAGAAATTAATATTGAGCCACCTCTGGTGCCAGGTTATTGTTTACACAGATTTTAACATGAAGGCTCGAGCAGAGCTGGTCAGAGTGGGGAGTGTGTGACTGACTGTCTGGAAACTGGGCAGGTTCCTGGCTGTGTGCAGGCAGGAGAGGACTCAAATGCAGACTCATGGAGGCGAAGACAACACAGCTTTATTTGCTGGCTGGTAAAACAATACAAACTACTCTGGGAAATAATATAAACTAGACACACAGAAAGGCACTCAGGGAAACACACAACCATGAGGGTACAGAAAAAAAACACAGGACTAAAATCCACTAAGGGAAAACGAGGGGGTGAGACACAGCAGGGAAACGTGGGGGAAGAAAAACCAGAAACATTGATGTGAGACAAGGGCCCTCCTTAGCTTAGCCTCTTGGTGGTGGGAAACTGCACAGTGAACCACTAGGTCATTTAAACTTATTGCACCAGCTCTGTCTGATAACTTGTTGCTTATTAGATTCTGCATGGTGAACACAGACATGGGGAGGACACGTCCAGTGTACTTCTAGTGGAGTACACTTTTTTATTTTATTTTTTTATTTTTTATTTGGGACTTTAAATAATGAGCTGTTGTGTAGAGCATTCTCCACATGTGAAAAGAGTGTGAGATTTTCATTTGAATGTACATTGGATTTGTGTAATCTGTTTCTATAAGAGTTAAGGAGTCAGGTTACTAGGGTAGCATTGAAACCCGAACATTGAAAACCAAAAATAACACTTGGCCAAGTCATTGCTTTAGTAGTTGGTGTTTTACTTTTCTTTTAATTTTTGTAAGTTTCCTTTCTACCATTGTAAAGTGTCTTTAACCTGTGCTTGTCAACCTTATGGTTTATGTCACTAAAGTTGGCCGGTTCTT